GCATTTGTTATTCCTTTATATGAAAATGAACGTTGTTTACAAGATGATTGTGTTTTATTATTTTCTTTATAAACACAAATATCACCTTCATATCCACCTCCAAATCCAAACAAACAACCATTGATTGAGTTGCATAAATAAAATGCATGTTGTTGATCATTAATATCAAATTTCATCATTTCATCTATTCTTCCATTTGATTCTAATGAAAATAAAAATGATTTTGGATCATATATGAAATCTCTAACTTTATCAATTTTCACATTAACATATCCTCCAAATTTATTTCCATTTGTATCTTCAATAATAATTGTTATATGTTCTTTATTTATTATTTTTTGATTAAATACTGATTTATCTTTATCCCAATTATCTATTTCTGAATCAAATATTATATTTCCTACTTTTCTTGTTGTCCATTCTTCTAGTTTATTAATTTGTGTTCCTTTGATTATTTTATAGTCATAACCTTTTATTTCTATACTGTCCTGTATATTGATATTATTTATTGTTTTGTCTCTAAATTCTTTTGAGTGTTTTATTTGTTTTTCAGCACGAAGTAAGTATTCTTTCCTTATTTCTTCTACTATTAATCCTCTAACTATTTCTTTGTTTCCATTCTTTGTTTGAATCTCTTTAACAATATCTTCTACCATTACATTAAGACAACCTATGTTTGTAGTGTTTGTTTCTATTTGACTTCCATTTTCTTTTAATCTTTTGTTAATAAATTCATTTTCCTCTTTTGTTTGTTCTTTCTCTATTCTTATTTGTTCATCTATAAATGTTTCGTTCTTTACTTCTAATGCTTGTAGTTCCTCTTTAAGTTTTTCTATAATTTCATTCTTTGTATATAACATCATTATTGTTATGTCCATTTCATTAACTTTCTTTTGTAGTTCACATAATCTTCGTTCATATGTATCGAGTCGTTTATTGATTTCTTCTGTGAATTTATTTAAATATTTAGATATTAGTATCTCTACTCTTGATGGAACTCCTACAATCTCAATCCCAGCATGAGTAAAGATATTTGAAATATTATCACTTTGTTGATATTCCATTAATATCTATTATACAGATTATTGTAAAATACAAGTTTAAATATAATATCAGTGGATATAAAATTACACTTTTGTTTCTTCTAAGAACATTTCTATTTCAAAACAACATTTTAATTTCAACTTTATGTTCATTCATAACTATCGTTTTTTCTTATTTTTTTTCTAATTCTCTTTTTTTCTTCTTGTTTTCACTTCTAATATCTTCTTTCTTCATCATTTCATTATTTTATGTTTAACTATGTCATCATTTTGATTCTTTTTCTCTTTACTATATTTATTTGATTAATTCTGTATTGGAAATAAATCATTGAATAATGAAAAATGATGTTTGAATTTTATTATTTTACTATTTTTATACTATTTTTTATTATTTCTATTAATAGTTGTTATTTTTGTTATTTTATTTTGTTATTTCTTATTTTGAATGATATCATTTTATTGATTTTCTTTTAATCTTTTCTTTTTTTCTTTATCATCTTCTTGTCTCTATCATCTATTTATTATTTTCTACTTCTAAAGTACCATTTATTATTAACACTAAATTTATCATTCATCTTTATTTAATTTAAATCAATTCTATTTATTTTTTCATTATTTATTGTTATAAATACATTATTCATTTATTCTATTCATTTACTTTCTTCAACAAATAAATATATCTATATTATTTTTTGTTTTAATTCTTGATTTATTTATCATTATTATTTATTATAACTTATTCTTTTTTTTGTATTTATTATATTTCATTAAATTTATTAATATCTTGTAAATTAAATAAAAGTAATTAATTATATTAATAGAACTTGTGTCTATTGTTCCTGACTCACCGGAGACTAATCTCCCACTAGGTCTTCGTCTGTTGTTCAACATCATATGTTTGGTTGTGGTCGAATCAGTGTTCCATGACATCCATCATGTTTTTAATTACAATGTTTTTGATTTCTTTAATGATGTCAATTTCGATTTTTAATTATTTAATTAATTAAATATTTTCAAAATTTATTAATTAATTTATTGAAATTACTACTGTATTTATTTTGATATCTTTTATTTTATCTATTTTCATTAGTGTATTCTTCATTTCTTTATACTTTTTTCTTTTATTCAAATAGCCTCAATTAATATTGTGATCTGCCACAATATTCATATCAATTATTAGACCAGTTTTATTCTTTTTATTTAGTACATATATATCTGTTATTTTATGATATTGTAATTCACTTTTTGATATTATTTATTTGTTCAATATCATAGTGATGTCATTATATTGGAACATTGTTTCATATGTTGATTTCATATTGATGATTTCATTTATATTTTCTTATTATCTAATATGATAATACAAATATTTTCATGTTTTTCAATTTGTGATTTCTTATGACAAATACAAGATAATAGAATGTGTTCTATTGTGAATATCTTGTCTTTACAAAGTGGGCAGTACTTTATTCTTTCATTTTTTAATATTTTATCTTTTCTGTACATATTGAATATTGGTTCATCTTGTATTTTAGTTAATTGAAGAAATACATTATTTTTAATATTGACTGACTTCAATTTATTGATTAAAGTAGTTTTATCTATAGATTTTGATTCAATCAATATTCTAAAATATCTAATTGTTTGATTTCAATTTATTAATGTATTTATTTATCATTATTTTATTTATTTATTTTTATTTTTAGTCATTTCTTTTATTATTTATTCTATTTCTTTGATTTTATGTTTTATTCTTTTTTTATTTATATTCAATATTCATTTCTTTGAATACCATCTATCTATTATATTATTTCTTATTTCATTCTTGTACATTAGTACATTACTCTTCTAATTATTTCATTGACATTCATTATTCATGTTTATTATTCATTATTTCTTTTATATTAATACATAGATTGTATTTAGAGTTATTAACACTAATATATTTTATATTTATTATTTATTTTATTATCTCAATTTCAATTTTATCTAAGTTACATTCTATTTTATTACTGATAATGAATATATGAAGATATTAATTAATTCATTGTTAATTCTTGTAATATATCTTTTATTACTATATTGATCATAATTTATTTCATCTATTTTCTTCATTATCTTTTATTTGATGATTTTATAATTGAATATATTATTAATTTCATCTGATTATCATATATTTAAATTTTATACATTTCATCTCTTTCAATTATTTGATATTTTCATTTCAAGATAGTATTTGATTAATATTATTTATTTCTTGTTTTATTTTCTTTCATTTCTTTATTTCACTTATTATTTATTTAATTTATATGTTGACTATTCTCATTTCTTCATTACTTTGTGTTACCATTCTCATTTTATCATTATATAATATATGATTTATATTATTGAACTTATATTCATTGATTTGATAAATTATATTCATTTTATGATGATAGAGATGTTAATGAATCATAATGTAAAATTAATCATTTTAATATATTATTTATATTTATATCATATGATTCTATTCATTATATTTATCATAT